AATAAATTGAATATCTCTCCAATATATTTATATAATTTTATTTGTTTTAAATTTATATTATTACATAAAACATATGTATAATAAAAGTACAATTTTTTTTTGCTGTTTAAATTTCAAAAACTGACGTAAAAGTACAATAATAAAAGACTTGAGTTAGTAGAAGAATTGGGGTGGAGTCTGTTCAATTCTGGTTGATTTACTAAGCTGGTCGATTTGTTAATTGAAACATAGTCGATTTATTTAATTGAAACATTGAAAAGCATGGACCCGATCGAGTGTGTCCAACCCGACCAAGCGAGCACGATCGAGCACCCGGGCTCACAAGAGGAAGCTGAACACGGACATGTCGAGCATGGACCCGAACGAGCCCAACAAGCACCCGACCGAGCTCACCTTAAACCGACTTTGTAATTTGTCTTTTTGTGTTTTAGGGCTTCCTGCCCTTAGTATAAATAGACCCCTTGGGTCATTAAGCTAAAAACAAATTTTCATTAGGGTTTTTCTCCGTAGCCACCAAACATTTTCAGAAACTTGTAATCTTTATATCTTTTGATCTATTGAAAATTTGGAGTTGTTTCTTTACAATATCTTGCTCCTTAGATCATTATCTATCTAGTTATGCAAGATTCAAAGATTTCTGGGTTTGTGTTCTTCATGATGTACTCCAGATCTGAGTAGTCTTTCTAGGGTTTATAGGATGGGAGGAATCTTAGTTTCTAGGGTTGCTTAAGTATAGATTTAGGTAGATACCTTCTGGATTAGGAAATCTTAATGCTATCTTAGCATTAACCATGTGGGATTAGATCTTAGACATTGCATCATTCAAAAAGTGTTCAAATGGAATGTCTGATCAACTAATGCCAGAGATCTATTTACTTACCCAAGAGATTGGTTGTTAAGGAGTAGATTGACATTAATGAGCTTGTTCTTTATGCCTATTTATAGTATGTTTCATCAATGAAAGGTTAGATTAGGAAGTGCTATATATCTGATAATCTTTGCCAAGAGATTGGACTGATTAGGTTAAGTGGTTCATTGTCTAGGATTAGATCTATCTGAGCATGTTAAGCATCCCAAAGATACTAAGAGGATTCATCACCCCATTAGCCGATTCTTTATGCCTATTTATAGTATGTTTCATCAATGAAAGTTGAAATTAGGAAGTGCTATAGATCTGATAATCTTTGCCAAGAGATTGGACTGATTAGGTTAAGTGGTTCATTGTCTAGGATTAGATCTATCTGAGCATGTTAAGCATCCCAAAGATACTAAGAGGATTCATCACCCCATTAGCCCATCCTTATGACCCTTTGTTTATCTGATTGATTATCTGCTTTTATTTACTGCTTTCAATTCTGCTTCTTTAGTTTACTTTTATGCTTTAGAGTTTATTAAACCAACCCCTGAACTACTTGGCTTGACTTGATTAGATCTGTTATATCTTGATTGTTTGAAATTCATCCATCTGGATCGATACCTCTTATGCTACATCGCTTAGGGGAATTGAACTCCAAGGGTATAAAAATACCTGTTTGAATTTGGCGCCGCTGCCATTTGGATGTTATTTGTTCCATTTAGGATCCCAGTTCTATCTAGATCAAGTTCTTTTACTTTCATTTATATTCGATTACTGATTTCTACCTTTGCTACTTGTCTGTCTTGCATTTCAGGTACACTCGACCGAGCTACACTCTGTACTCAATAAGTTTTTGATGAACCAGCAGAAGAATGTACACTTTGTTCAAGAGGAGGAGACCTTCCAACCTAATGATGGTGATTGTGCTAATATTGAGGAGGTGAGCTATATCCAGAATCAAGGAGGTTACCAAAAGGGTTACAATAACTACAAACCCAACCCAAATCTCTCTTATAGAAGCACCAACGTCGCGAACCCCCAGGATCAAGTCTATCCGCCTCAACAACAACAGTTCCAGAACAAGCCATATGATGGCTTTAATAAAAAACAAGCTTTTCAACCTCAACAACAGTCCCAAGGTTCTTATCAACAGCATATATCACACCCTCCAGGATTCCAACAGCACCCTACTAATGTGCACCCATAACAAGATATTCAAACAACACTTCATCAGCTTCTCCAAGCACAGAACAATAGCCGCCTGGAACAAGCCAAGCAGTTAGCCGAGCTTCGCAACGAGATGCGTGAGTCTATACAGGAGCTCCACCAAAAGTTCGATTTTTTAAACAAAAGGGTAGTTATCTTAGAAGGCAACCAACCCTCCACATCTTCTGGCCAACCCCAGGAAAGTGTATCATGAACCCTAAAGAATTTGCTACTGCTCATGCGATTACTTTGGGAAAACCGTTCCCAATTATCACTGAGGACAGTGAGGTTCAAGAGGGTGAGGATTCAGCCCAAATGTGTACCCTACACGGTGAACCCGATCGAGTCTACAACAGGCACGACCGTGCCAATGGTGAACCCGATCGAGTCTACCAAAGACTCGACCGATCCGATCAAAGGTACCATGAACCCAATTGAGCCTGATATCGTGTACGCTACTTGTCTCACAGGTTGTGTGAATTAAGTTCCGACGAGCCTCTTCGCCCGATCAGAGCTACCAGCCCCAAGCCTTCAAATCGAAGACCACTACTCTACCCTGAAGAATCTAAAGCAGAAATCAAGGAAGAATATAACCACATTCTGGATTCACTATCAGGGAACGATCAGCTGAAGGCTTTGGTGGATGCTTTCGCCAACATTCCCTCCTACAGGGTGATTCTCAAAGAAGTCCTATTGGAAAGGATGCAACAAAGGAAGAGTTGGATTCCACCCTCTCAAGATTCTGATTCCTCCAAGAAGATGGGGGATCCTGGAGCTTTCACACTCCCCTGCTCAATCCGATCAACGATCTTCAACGAGTGTTTATGCGACACAGGCGCTTCGATTAGCTTGATGCCCCTCTCAATAACTCAGCGGATGGGCTATACAACCTTTACACCATGCAGCCTGACGATTGTGATGGCGGACAGAAGCTCTAGACAACCCGTAGGGGTATTAGAGAATCTCCTTGTTGAAGTTGGAGGAGTAAAGATTCCCACTGATTTTCTGATTCTCAAGATGGAAAGGGAACTTCAGTATCAACTAATTCTAGGAAGACCATTTCTAGCCTCAGCAGGTGCACTTATTGATATGAGAAAGGGGGTCATGACTCTTGATCTTGTTAGAGGGACGAGGATGAAGATCAATATGGCATATCCGCACCAAAGTACAACGTTCATAATAGAAGAAACCTCGACCTCTTCTCCAACTTGTGTTGAGCTCCAGGAGATCAAAACTCTCAAGAAAGACTTAAGGTGGCTAGCAACCACCATTCAGGGATTAACCGAGGAAATTGTGATGTTGAAGAAGAAGAACGACATCTTGACTTCTAGGAAAGCAAAGAGGGTATTTACTTTCAAGAAGAGACATGCTGCAAGGAAGAAGTATCAGATACATTGGTCATTGGCATTGGAGAGAATGGTTGAACCTCTCCATTGTTCAAACACTTCGTGAGGATTATACCAAGTCAAGCGTAGCGACTATAAACAAGCTCACTTGGGAGGAAGTCACAAAGGTATCCCTGTACATATTTCTTTAAGTTTTTAAAATTTGATGTTCTTTTTAGTTTGATGTATTTTCAGGTTTGAATGTGAGTGAAGAAAGGTGTTATTGGGCCAAGATAAGGGAAGAAGGAAGAAAGAGTCAATTTGAGCCTTAAAAGCCCAATTTCACAATCCCATTCGGTCGAGTCAACACCCACACGGACGGGTCAACGCGATTCGATTGAGTCAGTCTCGACCGTCTGATCGAGTCAATCTGAGCCACCCGATCGCGTTCATCTCAGCCGTCCGATCGGGTCAAAGGTAACGGTCGGGTCAATGGTCAGCTCGATTTGAAATTCAAATTTTGAACCAAGCCCGACCAAAAACGCTCCTCTTTCAGATTTTTGTCCCCTCTCACCCTCTTTATAACATCTAAACTCGACCAAAACCTCTCTCACCCTCTCATTTTGCTAAAAATTCATATATCTCTCTAGAATTCTCTCTTCCTTCTCTCTAGATTCTTGGTTGATAGAATTTCTGGGTTTGATTTCATTTGCCCCTTGTTCCTCTCATTCTCTGGTTTGTTGATAAACTTGCTTTCGATTCTTCACATTTTCTGGGTTTGTTTGTATAATTGAACCTTGTGTTCTTGTTTTCTGGGTTTATTTTCAAGATTGTTCTTGGTGTTCTTATTTTCTGGGTTACTAACCTATTAAATTTGAGTTTCGAGTTTCTCATTCCCAGAAAACAAAAATATCTTCAAGGATTCCTCAACCCAGAAGGAAGAGCCTCTCAAGATCACAACGAGAAGCTCATCGCAGACAATCTGCCAAAGAAATTGCAAGAAATTTCTTGACAATCCAAGCCACTGGAACCGGACTCGATCGGGTCAGAAGCGGAAGAAGAGAAGCCCGAGCACGAACCCGATCACCCGATCGGGCCAGTCGATCGGGTTAGACCCACCCGATTTCCAGAGAAGAAGTTTCGATGGGGAAGAGACCCGCAGATGAGGATGTTGATGAACCGATGGTGGATATGGAGCCTAGAAGGGTAGTGGCTCCAAGGAAGACCAAGAACATGCCCCCTCCAGAAGAGC